ACAGTATCACTTCACAAGTCTAGCTTCCTGAAACTGGGAAAACTAACATGAGAAACTAAGGAAAAATAAATAACCAAACAACAAAAAGAGACAAATAAATAACTAAACATGAACAAAAAGAGTTCATGTGCAGTGGGAAATTGTGAGGTTATAAGCCTAATTTCATGTCTCCAGTTTAATCTCAAATTAGCTGTGTAAGCAAGTCAATATCTCTGGACCTTGTTTATTTTCAACTATAAAATAAGACTTATGGACTAAACTCCTCGATTTTAAACTTCTTTTTAGCATTAACATTCCTTTTTTAAAATTTCTATTTCTTTTATACAGTCACATTATTTAGCTTACAAAGTGAACATTCCAACATGTGTACAATTCTCACCAGTTCAGTTCACCATACTAGAAAGTTATCTTAATATGGAAAGCTTAACAGTCTTCTTTGCTTCTCTGATAATTGAAGAATATAGTATATTTGGGGTTTGTCTTGTGCTTTTTTCTCTCATAATTAGATTCAGTTAGGCTTTTCCAGACATATTACTTCCAAAAAGTTGTCTTCATTGGGGCCAGTAGGTGTTAAGGTGCTAGAATCCTACATGGCTAGCCATAGTTCGAGTTCCAGACCTGGCAGCTTGAAAATCACACCAGGTGTTTGTATTCCCAAAATCTTAAGAGGAGAGTGGAGGAAGGATTGTTGCATGGCCATGCTCCCTGGGGGAATGATTTCTCACTTTTCCTCTCTCTGCATTTCTCTCTCTCTTTCTGGTGAGTAAACGCACCCTATGGCAAAATAAATAAATAAAAGTCTTTGGAGATTTTCAATGTCCATCTAGACTTAACTGATAATTTTATTATTGATTGTTCAGTTTCTCCACTTTATAGGTAATTATATTTTCCTACTGCAACTGATCAGTGATCTGTGGGAACATTCTTTAAAGCCATACAAAACATATACTGTTCAAATATTTCTTCTCCTTGATAAATTGCTTTTTATTATTATTCTGGACCAATCAACATTCCCAAGAGCAGTGTAGGAGAGTTCCCCTTTCACTACACCCCCACCAGCACTTATCATATTTTGATTAAAAAAGCAGTAGCATTCTTTGGTTATGCAGTTGTCTTTGAACCCTACCCTGAATAAAATAGATTAGTTACTGTGGTTAAAGCAGAGATAAAGTAGAGCCAGGTCTGCTCAGCATTCCTCAAACCATTCATTTCTCTACAGAACTTCTATGCCCTGAAAAAAATAGTATGATTCCTTTCTTAGAAAATTCTCTCCCTCACCTCATCTTTTCAACTCTACACATGTATATAGAGATAAATATCTTGATAATATTACTAAATGTTAACACTGGAATTTATTCTGAATGGTGAAATTTTAGGTGATTTGTTGTTTTCTTCTTTATACTTTGCCATATTGTTTGAATTTTTATAAGAATTCATCATATTTTGGGACCAGCAGTTGGCGTAATGGCTATGTCGCTGGACTCCCATGTAGTCAACGGTGGTTCAAGTCCTGGACCTGGTGGCTGAAACTCACACATGTGTGTACATGCCCAAGATCCCAAGGGAGAATGGAGAAGGGATTGCAGTGTGGCCATCCCCCCGGGCCATCCCCCCTGGGGGCTGTCTTGCTTTCTAGCTCTGTCTCTCTGGCAAGCACACATGCCCTACAGAAAAAAACCTCTCAAAAAAAAAAAAAGTTCATCATATTTTTATATAAAGACATTAATATTTTTTAAAAGGTACCCATTTGAATAGATCTCTAAAAGAGCCTTTTGTACTCTACATGCTATGAACTATATGTTACACTTTCCTTCCATACAGACCTTAACAAAGAATTCAATTATATTTAGATCCAGTTTTTTTATTTTGTTTTGCTTTGAGAGGTTTTTGTTATAGGGTGCGTGCACTCACCAGAAAGACATAGAGAGACAGAAAGTGAGAAATCACCCCCAGGGGGATGGCCACACCACAATCCCTTCTCCATTCTCCTCTCAGGATCTTGGGCACGCACGCACATGTGCCTGGCATGAGTTTAAGTCACCAGGTCCTGGACTCGAACTGCGGTCAACTACATGAGAGTCCAGTGACACAGCCATTATACCAACTGCTGGTCCCCTAGATCCTGTTTTGAGAAGCTTGGTTATCTGGTTTTCTAACCCTTAGCAACTCAATGGTAGCATATTACAAATAAAGGTGCCACAGGGAACTATACAGGTAACTTAACCATAAATAAAGAAGGGGAAAAAAACCCTAAAAATTGTATAAAACTTATTCAAATATTTTTTTTAAAATACAGCAACTCCCAGAGACATTACTATGATAATGTCTTCCAAAGGTATCATTGTGAAATATTAATAGTGCAATAAAATACAATAGTTGTTAGTGTTATTGACCCTGAATTATCCAGAAAATGTTAAATTGTGCTTAAGAAAATAGGAAAGTATACTTTGTTTTTAGAAAATTTAAGAACTTTCATAAAAAGATTTAAACTTTTAGAATAAAAAATGTTTTGTTTAAAGAAACTAAACTATGAGATAACTAAAAAAATTGACTATTCAGAAAATCTAATTGTCTTAAAATTCTAATTAGACATTTTTACTGTGATATCTAATTGTACATTTACAGTCTAAATGTACTATGATATTTTAAGTAGATACATTAAGTAACTACTCTTGTGTGAATATTTTCAACTAAGTCATGGAACAAACTGCATTTGTTGACAGGCTTGAGGGTCAGTGATTCTTAGCATTCTAATCAAGACTTTTGTGAAAATTGATAGTTTGTGCCAAAGGAGCAGAAGAGAGCATAGAATTTTATTATAGTTCAAACTTTAATGTGCTAATGTATTTGAACCCTATAAACGTCTAGACCAGAAACAATCAGACACCAGTTAACAATTTAAAGTAATAAAGTTTATGTGTAAGTGTGATTTTAAAGTATTTTACAAAGCCTTTAAGCTATAATTGGCCTTTCTTGTGAACTTGATCTGATCTAGTTAGTACATAATAGTATAAACACTTCTTATTAATGTTTTCTGACATTGCTGTCTACTCATTCACAATAACCGTATTAAAGCACCAGGTGATGATCTAATTTGGAACATGGAAAATAAGTTTAAAAGGTACTGGGCTGGAAGAATATAAGAGATTGATGGGAGAATTACTGTGATTCTAGCAAACTCTGTATTATATAATCAATTTTGGTAATAATTCTAAAATTGATGATGAAAACCTATCTGAATGTGGTTGTTTTTTCAGCCTGACTTAAAGATGATAGGTTCTGAGTATAGTCAGCACTCTTTATTTAATGTGATAGATCTAGATTCTTATGTTTAGAGCTTGGTGTTTTTTTGTTTTGTTCTGTTTTTAGATCACCAAATGGGAAGACAACTGACAACAGAATTAATAGATTGGTTACATGACATTCTGGGGAAAAAAGCTGCCAGAAGTTTTGAGGTTGGGAAATAATCTTTTTACATTCTTTATATTTTCTTTCTACTGCAACAAATAAAACATGTTCACTATAAAATTCATAAGGCATAAAAACTTTTTTGCATAAAAACTTTAATAGTCTGTGTAGATGCTTTCTATTTATTAAATGCTCACAAGATAGTGTTAATGGGTATTGTACAAGAGTTTATTCAAAAATAAGACATGATTCTTCCTCAATGGGAGCTTAAAGTATAAGGAAATGACATTAATCATATTACAATATAGAATTATTTATTTTTAGAGAAAGGATGAGAAAGTCGGAAGGATTTCATTCCATTTAAAACACTGTGGTACAATTTTAAAAAAATGCCAAAGACCCCACAAAACAACAAACTACCTTATTACAATGCAATCCAGTATTCCTGTGGAAAAATTTGAAGCTAAAAATACATATATTTGGGGCTAGCAGGTGGTGTGGCAGTTAAGGTGCTGGATTCCCACATAGTATACTATGGTTCAAGTTCTGGACCTGAAGACTTGCTTTCTCATTTTCCCTCTCACTTTCTGTCACTCTCTCTGCTTCTCTCTGGTGAGTTCACATGCCCTGTAGCAAATTTTAAAATAATGATAATGATAAATAAAATAAAGTAACTTTTTTAGAGAGATATTCTTGCTATAGGGCACGTGTACTTGCTGGAGAGACAGATAGAGACATAAAGCAGTAAATCACTCCCCAGGAGGATGGCCATGCCACAGTCCTTTCTCCTCTATTCTCCTCAGGATTTTGGGCATACATGCACATGCACCCGGCATGAGCGTCAAGCCACCTGGTCCAGGATTCGAACCACCGTCAACTGTGTGGGAGTCCAGCAACATAATCATTATGCCTTCTGCTCTTCCCTAAAATAATTCTTTAAAAAATACATGTACTTAAAAAAGGCAAAAAATAAATCATTCATAACCTGATCATTCTTAAAATTTTATTCTATTTCCTTTTAATGTTTGAGTACATTTGTGTGTTCATATGTATAAATGAAATGAGATATAGTGTTAAAAATAAGTCGTAGTGCATCACAACTTCCAACCAAGTACTAATAAGAACCAGTTTTTGTCCCAGCTAGAACAACACCCTCTCTGAATGAATAAATACATAAAATAAATGAATAAATAAATAAATAAATAAACAAACAAACAAACAAACAAACAGAAAGAAAGAAAAAGAAAAATGAGACAAATATGTGGGGGGAAAATATTTTCATGACACCAAACATTAAGCAATGAAAGAAAATGATCCCTAGGGCATGAGAAATAAGGTGAGCACCTCAACTGTATAGTTTATTGCCTTGAGTTTCCAGGCTATAGCACAGGAAGGGGGACTGGCAGGGGCTGATGTGGAGACACATTCTGATTTGAGGAGATGGAGCCATCTGGAGAGACCAGGGCAACTAGAGTTCATAAAATAGAGTATTAAGGAGAGGTGCATAGCACAATGAGAGAACCTCAGTCACCAGAGAGTCCTCATTCAGTGGTTTAGCAGAATATCAATCAGAACTTACATGGAACAAAGCTACCTGAAGCCAGGGGAAGACAATCTAAAAATATTAGAGAAAAGAGTTCCCAGCACTCACATGTGTTTGGGAATACAACCTGTTTTTACTAATCAGACTGGAAAACCTCTAATTCATGAGGCATCGAGGTAAAGAACTTATAAGGGTCTTTTTGTCTTTTCTTAGTAATGGGGAAAATTTTGTTCTACACTGAACCCTGCTCCAGACCTGCTTAAAAAATCATAAAAGTATGATGGTAAAGGGTCACACTGATTCTAGAGTACCTAATTGTTTCCTAGAGCAGAGTTTAAGAATATCAGTAGGAACACAAAACTGTAGAACATCTAATAAGGTGAAGTTCACAATGTCTGACATCTACTAAAAAATTACCAAGCACAGAAAAGGGCAGGAAAACAACCGATGACGAAGAGAATAAACAATTAACTAAAACTGACCCGAAACTGACACAGAAGTTAGCATTAACAGAGAAAATAGGTCTTATAATTGTATTACATACATTCAAAAAGTTAAGTAGGGGCATGGAAGATATACAAAGATCCAGATTAAATTTCTACAGATAAATATAATGTCTAGAATGAAAAGTGCATTGGATATTTTGTTTTTTTAGAGATTTTTGCTATAGAGTTCATGTGCTTGCTCGAGAGACAGAGAGATTGAAAGTGAGAAATAACCCTCCAAAGGGGGCATGTCTGTGCTGTAATCCCTTCTCCATTCTCCTCTCCAGATTTTGGACACACATGCACATGTGCCTGGCTTGAGTCTCAAGCCACCAGATATGGGACTTGAACCACAATTGACCATGTGGGAATCTAGTGCCTTAACCACTATGCAACCTGCTGGCTTCCCATAATAGATCATTTTAACATTGACTTAGACACCATAGAAGAAAAGATTGGTGAACATGAAGTCATAATGAAGAAGCTATATATATATTGGGTTGTTGGGAAAGTCATGATGAACTTTTGCATAGAAAAACATAGGAAAATATGTCCTGAGATGAGGGACAACTTCAGGTAGATTAATACATGTAATTGGAATGCCCAAATGAAGAGAAAGAAATGTTTGGAAAAATAAGGGCTAAAATCCTTCAAAACCTAATGAAAACACTAAACCCACTAATTCAAGAATCTTAACAGACTCCACAAACACAAGAAACGCAAAGACTACACAAAGGCACATACAAATTAAATTTCTCAAAACAAATGTTAAAAGAATAT